TATATTTACCCGTGCATATATTGATTCCAAGTAATAACAGTAATCATAAAATTTATAATAATACCCAGATAATTTAATACCATATATAATAATACCTCAGAAATAATTCACCCACACTACTTACAACGCGTTTGTTTCCTACGTACGCCAAACGCCTGACTTTGTGTACCATGCAGCGACTACGGTAAAACTGATCATACCGAATAAGAAAAAAATGCTTCATCGCTAGTAAAATAAATCTAATTGTTTCGGATAGGATACCAACGGTTACCCAGCCTATATGCCGAAGGTCCGACAGACCGGAAGGCCCTATACGCCCGAAAGGTCCGACAGACGGAAGGCCTATAGATCCGAAGGTCGATAGACGAAGGCCCTATAGACGAAGGTCCGACTAGAGCCGATCATATTTAATACATATATAATAATACCTCAGAATAATTCACTCCACACTGACTTACAACGCGATTTTGTTTGCCTACTACTCCAAACGCACTGACTTGTGTACCATGGCACGCGACTACGTAAAATGATATACGAATAAGAACCAAAAAATGCTTCATCGCTACGTAAAATAATTCTAAACTGTTCGATAACGATACAACACGTTTTACATAGCGAGCCGCTGCGTGTTGTCGCATAGTGACACGTAAACATATATAAAGCTAAAAGGTCACGCATCGCGGGGCGATTCAATGAACGCATCTGATGAAAACACACATCATTTCATTCCGGCCCACGCTACTCAATTTAATCCACCGACCAGCGTTTACATTCCCCCGCACATCGGCGCACGACGACCAGAAATCTAACAGCAATGACGAAATTGGCAGACTAGGCGTCTCCGTCACGTAGCCTTCTATTCGCGCTCTATGGCGAACGTAATAGCCCAAGCTAGTTTTTCCCTAAGGCGCTACAAAGAATGGCGATGCAAGATGAATTCGTGCTGCGTGCGTGTGTGTATGTGTGTGTGTTGTGTGTGTGTGTGTGCGTGCCGTGCGTGCGTGCGTGCGGTGCGTGCCGTGCGTGCGTGGCGCGTGTGTGTATTGTGTGTCGTGGTGTGATGTGTGTGTGTGTGTGTGTATGTGTGTGTGTGTGTGCGTGCGTGCGTGCGTGTGTGCGTGCGTGTATGTGTGTGTGCGTGCGTGCGTGCGTGTGTGTGTATGGTGTGTGTGTGTAGGATGGGACGGGCCAGCGCTGGCAGGATAACATAACATTAGTTCCGAGCGGATTTGCAGCGTCAACCCTAGCTAGACACTCTTGCGATGGCGTGTGAAGGCGGTTTAGAACTGCACGCCGAGTGGCGCTGTTGTCCGTCGTATTCGTGGAGAGATGGGCGATAAGAAATGCTATTGGAAGCTTACGAAAGAATGATGTTTCACAAACACGATACAGTGACGGGAATCGAAGAGAGAGAGAGAAGAGAGAGTAAAGAGAGAGAGAGAGAGAGAGTAGAGAGAGAGAGAGAGAGCGAGGAAGGCAAATTGAGGCAAGAAAGAGAGGTAGAGCAAGTACGCACGCGCGTCTGTGTGTGTGGGCGGATGCGTGTCTGTTTTTTATACATAGTTATATTATACGTATTTTTCTCTTGCTTAAGCGACGATGGAGTTTACTATTGCGACGCGAGGTGAGTAAGGATGGCGCCGAATCCGTTCAACTTCAGCATACGTTGGGCGTTCTATTAGGAAGGACGTCTGCTGAGAAGGGATGCTGTTTCATCAAGTGGGGTGGAGAACGAGCAGAGGTATGTCTAGGTTGGCTGTGGCGAGTTTCCACTGTAGAACGAGTCCTCGAGAGCATGTGCACTCCCTCCCACTCTCGTTATCTCTCTAGTCCATTTCTCTCTCCCTCTCTCGATGACGCTATGATAGGCATACTACAGCATTAATAGGCAAGAGCTAATAATACCTGTAGGTTATTATTAGGCTCCTTGATTATATATATAACATATACTATGTAGTATTGATATATATATATTATATATATATATATAAATATATATATATAATATAGTATAATTCGTGATAAAATTAATGTCTATATACATGTGTTATGTGCACATATGTTGTGTGCGCGTGTCGCCTGCGTGGGTGTCTTGTCAACACGGCGGTATGTCCGTCTGTCTGCAAATATAATACGAGTCGTAGGTAAAGTGTTGGTTTTCAATGTTTGTACAGACAGACAGAAGATCACTGAGGTCGTGTACGTCCGAGTTCCCTATATGCACTGTTAACATGCAGATTGCTGCCTAACCTGCATGTATGGATTCAATCAAATGAGCGGCTTCGTGTGTCTCTGCAGCAATAAGCTGTGGGCAATCGCTTCACGGTGCGGCTACAAGATTGGCATTCATCTGTTCGTCTCAGTATTGCGTAGCGCTAATTGTGGAACACTGGTGGCAACATAACAGACATCCTCAGGCCGCGAGATAGGCAGAAAGACGAAAAGCGAGTAAAAGGTTACAACCGAGTAACAGCTGTCACGGCAGAGTCGGTTAAGTGAAGGACCGGGCCGTTCCGTTTGCTCATCTCGGTTTTGCCTGCCTTACTGGCAGTAAATACACTGCGTTTAATAGTGTCGACGGAAAAATGAAAAAATTGTTATAGTTATATTTTCGGACGAATTCGTCGGGAACGTTTAACAATGTGGCCGATTTTGCCAGCTGAATGAAACTTGCTTGTTGAACTATGCGATGTGCCGTTCAGACATTTTTTATCGCCAAAGGATCCGTTGCCTGTATTCATCGCTTTGTTCTCTGGGTAATGTTTTGGGTGCGCAGTTTTTGTGACTGTTGAGGGTGGCAATCTGTTCAGATCGAACGGAGTTGAAAAAAGCGCACAAGTACGATGACAGTTTCACTCAACTCCGGCTAGATGCGTTGATTTGTTTTGTTACATGGCGCAAAGTGGATGCGAGCCCGACATTTTGCACATGTTAATATTACAACGTCCCATTGAAGGTACTCGTCTGACTGG